AAAAGGTTGGGTGAGAGGATGCAGCCTTGCCGTACGCCTTTCCCAATCTTGAACCAGTCTGTTGTTCCGTGGTCAGTTCTGACTGTTGCTACTTGGTCCTTGTACAGATTTCTCAGGAGAGAGACAAGGTGGCTTGGGATGCCCATCCCACCAAGAACTTGCCACAATTTATTATGATCCACACAGTCAAAGGCTTTAGAATAGTCAATGAAGCAGAAGTAGATGTTTTTCTGAAACTCCCTTTTCTCCATTATCCAGCGGATATTGGCAATTTGGTCTCTCGTTCCTCTGCCTTTTCTAAACCCAGCTTGAACATCTGGCAATTCTCTCTCCATGTATTGCTGGAGTCTTCCTTGCAGGATCTTGAGCATTACCTTACTGGCATGTGAAATAAGCCACTGTACGGAAGTTTGAGCAGTCTTTCGCATTTCCCTTTTTTGGTATGGGGATATAAGTTGATTTTTTCCAGTCTGATGGCCATTCTTGTGTTTTCCATATTTGCTGGCAAATGGCATGCATCACCTTGACAGCATCATCTTTTAAGATTTTAAACAGTTCAGCTGGGATCCCGTCGTCTCCTGCTGCCTTGTTGTTAGCAATGCTTCTTAAGGCCCATTCAACCTCCCTCCTCAGGATGTCTGGTTCTAATTCATTCACCACACCGTCAAAACTATCCTCAATATTATTATCCTTCCTATACAGATCTTCTGTATAGTCTCGCCACCTTCTCATGATCTCTTCAGCTTCTGTTAGGTCCCTGCCATCTTTGTTTCTTATCATACCAATTTTTGCCTGAAATTTACCTCCAATGTTTCTAATTTTCTGGAAGAGGTCTCTTGTCCTTCCTATTCTGTTGTCTTCCTCCACTTCCATGCATTGCTTATTTAAAAATAGTTCCTTATCTCTTCTGGCTAACCTTTGGAATTGCGCATTTAACTGGGCATATCTCCCCTTTTCACTGTTTCCTTTTGCTTTCCTCCTTTCTTGGGCTACTTCCAGTGTCTCAGCAGACAACCATTTTGCCTTCTTGGTTTTCTTTTTCTTTGGAACGTACTTTGTTGCCGCCTCCTGAACAATGTCGCAGACTTCTGTCCATAGTTCTTCTGGGCTCTGTTTACTAAATCTAGTCCTTCAAATCTGTTCTTCACTTCCACTGTATATTCGCTAGGAATGTTAGTGAGATCATATCTAACTGGTCTGTGTATTTTCCCTGATCTCTTTAGTTTTATTCTAAATTTGGCAATAAGAAGTTCGTGATCTGAGCTACAGTCAGCCCCAGGTCTTGTTTTCACCGACTGGATGGATGTCCGCCACCTTTGGCTGCAAAGGATGTAGTCAATCTGATTTCGGTGTTGACCATCTGGTGAGGTCCATGTATAAAGCCGTCTTTTAGGTTGTTGGAAGAGAGTATTAGTTATACACAGCGAGTTTTCCTGGCAAAATTCTATCAGCCTGCGTCCCGCTTCATTTTGTTCTCCCAGACCATGCTTGCCTGTGATCCCAGTTGTCATTTGACTTCCCACCTAGGCATTCCAGTCTCCTGTAATGAAAATAATGTCTCTTTTTGGTGTATTATCCAGTAGGTCCTGCAGATCCTCATAGAACTGATCTACTTCTGCTTCTTCAGCAGCTGTGGTTGGGGCATATATTTGGATCACTGTAATGTTGAAAGGCTTTCCTTGCACTCGAATTGAGATCATTCTGTCATTTTTTGGGTTGTATCCAAGCACCGCTTTAGCGAATTTCTTATTAATTATGAAGGCTACTCCATTTCTTCGATGTTCCTCTTGTCCGCAGTAGTAGATCTGGTGGTCATCTGATGTGAAGTGGCCCATTCCAGTCCATTTCAGTTCACTGACCCCCAGAATGTCTATCTTTAGTCTTGACATCTCACCAATAACAACATCCAATTTGCCCTGGCTCATAGATCTTACATTCCAGGTTCCTATGGTGTGTTGATCTTTAGAGCAACGGATTCGTCATTCACCTCCAGTACCGTCGGCCGCTAGCCTTCCTTTCGGCTTTGAGCTAGCTGCGTCATCACATCTGGGGCTAGTTGAACTTATCCTCTGCTCCTCCCCAGTAGGATTTTGGCCATCTTCCGACCTGAGAGTCCCATCTTCCAATGGCATACCGACATATCTCTGGTTGTACTGGTCCATTTAGTTTTCTTGGCAAGGATACTGGAGTGGTTTGCCATTGCCTTCCCCAGGGATCACGCTTGGTCTGACCTCTCTGCCACAACCATCCCGTCTTGGGTGGCCCTTCACGGTTTCGCTCATGACATCATTGAGGTGCTCAAGCTCCAGCGCCCCGACTGCTACTAATAATAATATATTATTATTATTATATATATATTATATTAAAAGTAATATTACTAATAATACTGCTACTAATAATAATATATTATTATTATAATTATATATATATTATATTAAAAGTAATATTACTAATAATATTACAGTATAGTGTTATAGTACAATGTAATATATAATATTAATATTGTGCTATGGTAAAAATATAATATATTGTATTTACTTTTTACTTGTAAGCTGCTCTGAGTCCCCTTCGGGGTGAGAAGGGTGACATATAAATGTGGCAAATAAATAAATAAATAAATAAATAAACAAATAGTGGTTTCCTATGAAATTCATATATTACAAATTAGTTGAAGCTCTCATTTTCTTCCATTCATTTGAACAGAACAAACATAGGCCCACTTTCCTGGCCCTATGTTTCCCCATTGGTCCAGCCTTCTTGCAGCAGGCCTTGGAAATAAATAGCTCCAGGTCCCACCCTGACCATCAGGCAGGACCATGCTTGCACCTTACCCACTCCCGGGCCCTAGTCTACTTTGCTGTGCTAGCCCAGCCCTCTAATAGTTGTCGAGGCCCACTCTGGAATTCTGACCATTGATTACTGAACTTCCCCAATGGAAATTAGTACTGAACTGACTTTTGATTTCAATATATATGACTATTATATAATATTATGTGTTTGTTTTTAATTATTATTCTGTATATCTTTGCTGTCGGTAATTGCAATGCTTTACCCTATGTTGGAAGCCACCCTGAGTCCTCTTGGGGAGATAGAGCAGTATACAAATAAAGTATTATTATTATTATTATTATTATTATTATTATTATTATTATTGTTATTAAAAAGGAGTTCAACCAGAAGAGAATCTGGAAAAGGAAATATAGCATTTCCCACCCTGGTGAGGAAAGAAATGCGATGGAGTCAGAGAAATTGATTCCCTTTAGGCATAATGAACCGTGATAGCAATAGACTTTGATCTTTCTCATTTTCTTTTCTAGAATCATATGAATCTGAAGAACAATGGGGTGAGTATCTTAACATGAGAAATGTGGAGTGCTGTTTTTGATCAAAACATTAGTCATCCAGAGGAAGAGTGGAATGATCAGCCCTTTGTGGGAATCTAAAGATGGCACTTTATTGGTTAGTCTCTACTACAGCAGATCCATTTAATCAAGTGCTCTAGTCAAAATTGACAACAAGTGGATCCATTCTCTAGCGTGATGAGGTCCTATGTCATTCTTCCAACAGTTCCTTGTTAGCAGGGTAGTCTTGACTTTTCAGTTGCTTGACCTTGGAAAATCTTTACTGCCTAAACCTTTTAATTTCTATGACTAAAAAATTGATCTGCAGAACTTGCCCACTCTTCCAGCAGTGCTTCACAAAAAAATGTGTTCATGCTTTGTGGGAGTAATGTGTGCTTCTGTACTGTGCAGAGACTTAAATCCTGGTTTCCAAAATCATATTCCCATGTTCAAAGCCCATTATGGCTGCTCTTTCTATTGAGTTTGCCTTCTAAATGCCTGGGATTAGCATGGGCTGTTGAGACAAACTCTATTTTGTCTCTCTCTCTGTCCATCTCTCTTTCTCTCCAGCTGCAGAAGATCCGAAGGCTGATGGCAACCATGGTAATGCTGAACGTCTGCTGGGTGGTCTGCTGGGCGGTAGCAGTGGCAGTGGCAGTAGCGGTGGTCTGGGCAGTAGTCTGCTGCTCGGATTATTAGGAGGTTAATAGGATTCAGGCACACAGAAGAAAATAACTGACCTGAAAATTAATCCTTTGGCTGGCAATTTGGAAATGATATTGTATGACTATACCAATAAAGCTGGGATTAGATGTAGTAAAATGTTGTATCTTATTGTGCTATATTTTAATCTCTGTTTGACTGGGCTTGGTCCTCATGTAAGCCGCCCCGAGTCCCTTTGGGAAGATGGTGCCAGGATACAAGAATAAAGTTGTTATTACTATTTCAAACACAACAAGATTAGTATACAGCAAACAAAATCACTATGCTGGCTGTTGTATTGGATCACACATCAGACACTTCTCAAGTGTTGTTGTTGTTATTTAAAAGATTAGTTTGCGTAACATGTTTGCTGTTACTCTCCCTCCTCCCACCCTTTGTGTGTTAAGTTCAAATGGGAATGCTTCAAAAACTAAGATCAGTGCCAACAACAGAAGTGTTTTACCATAGACAGTAGAGCTCCAAGAATAATTGCTCAATTGCCTTCCACATTTCAGCGCAAGCAAGCGGGTTCTCTCTTTGGTTGGACACATGCAATCACAGTCTTGATGGAGTTGGTTACAAACTTCCCAATTGTCCTGTAACTACAAGTGCTAAGCCAACACAGGCAACTTGTTTCCTATTTCTACTGTTTGGTGGGTTGTTTCTATGTCATTGGGGTGATGAATTAACTCTGGGTTTTATTCTTAACCCAAAGGAGGTGTATCCCCCCTTCACTAAGGGATAGCTTCTCTAAAGTGTGGACTAAAACCCTGCAAAAATTCACTGACCCACTGACATGGAAGCTGCGAGTGTTCTATATTCCTTCTTGCATAGTGATCAACACTGAGTGGGGATAAAAATATTGGCATATTTTTCATAGTGATTTTTTAACACTAAAACCACTTAGTAGTTTTTCAGCAAAGCCTGGACTAGCAACTATAACAAATTAAAAATTTGCTCTTTCATGATGAAGTCTTGCCTATGTTAATAAAAGTATGAATTCACCCCTCAATTGGAATAATTCAGCAAACCACCTGTATTTAATTTGGGTCAAAACCAAAAGTTTGGGCAGAGCAAAAACCACTTGCCCCCAAAAACATTTAATACCAATGTATGTACACTACCTATGCACCAGTCAACTGGGTTGCTCTCATTTTATACAAGTGTATAAATTATTACTTACAGAATAGACTACATTGAATGTGATGTCACAAGAGATGTATATAGGACTGCACTGGTGGCTGCCTGAATACTGATCCTCTCCCATAATCTCATTCAATGCTACTTTTCCTTTGCTGCAACTGCTCCTGCTCCTTCTTCCTTATCCCCAAACTGGCCACATAGTTGGTCCCAAACAAATAGGGATCACATGGTGAGTGGAACAACTTCATAGATAACCTCACAGATACACACATCACAACATGTGCTGACAAATAAAGCTAGAGGCATTCATATTGGGCTACTTGAAAGTATCACCAAGGGCAAATTACTGGGAGGGTACCCAACAATAATTCAAACAAATAAGAACACTTTTTTCAAGGAATGCTAAAAATTACCATAAAGGAAAGGCATATCGATATGTCAAAACTATCTTCAGAAAAGAATAAATAAACCAAGTTCCATTGGTAGAAGAGCAAAACATATTGAAGGCCTTCAAAATGGCTGCCTTTCTATGAAAAGGTTTTTTAAAATTCCACCCTAAGTTCTACAGCCTCTCCCATCTTCACAACCTGAACACCTTCTGTCCTGTTTAACACAATACAATATGGTTCCTACTCCTGAAACAACTGAAGTGACAGAAGCTGTATTTTGTGTTCCGTGCCTCCTGGAATCAAGGAAGTTAATTCCATGGATAGATATCAACCTCTGTCCTCTTGAATGCTGAACAATATTGCAGAAACCTTAGTGATGTTGCTGAAACAAAGTTGGGGGCCTAGCATTGTAAAATGTATGCATCATGTGCAGGAAGCTCAAGATTCAATCCCTAGCACAGCCAGTTTAAAGAAGGCTAGAAGAACCAGTGATCAGGTACATTATAAGTCAGCTTTCGTTTTCTGAGGTATCCATCTCTTACCACTGAAAAAGCTGGGTGACTTCTGGAATCTGTGTCCTCAAACCATTTAATAGACTCAATGAAGCATAGAATTGGAAGATACCATATGGGACATCCAATCCAACTCTTGTCATGCATGTGGTCCAATACTAGGATTCAGCATTTAAATGTTTCTTTCAGAAAACCCATCAGCTTCACTAACATTATTTCTATGCCCTTTGCAGTAAGGTAGGCCAAGCCTAGAGCAAATGAAGAACTAAAGTCTGAAGCACCTACACTGTCCTGCCACTGAATTTCAGTGTTTAAGTGACTTTCGATCTGCCAATGTTATGGTTAACTGCTCTCCCCCTCTTAACTATAACGTTGGGACAGATCTGTCAAAAAGTCCACACTTCCTTTCCAGAAGAGCCTTTTTCTGTTGACTCAGAAGACTCTTCATCTGATTCCTCACTGCTTTCATCTAGAGTTGTAACTGGTGGTGGAGAAAAATAGTGGAAGAATTTTTGATAGCCATCAATGTCCAGACTTTCCCTGCTGGTTCCACCAGTGGAAGAGGCAAGCCGTGGTTGTAAGCCCAGCAAGATGAGATCTGTATTTTCCTTAGACTGAGCTGGAGCTTCACAGCAGAAACAGGGGGAAGCCACAGGAGTTGAGTCCATCATAATTGATTTTGAAGAAGCACTCTCCATTTTGATAGGGTCTTCAGGAGTCACTATGTGAATCCCATCCAATCTGTCTTTGAAAGCCTTTGCCATCACTTCCTGTACAATCTGTTCCAAGCAGCTCATGGGAACCTGTGTATCAGATGCCCCTGAAAGCCTTCTCTTTCGTGGTGAGATGTACAAACACATCCTGGAAACAGCTCTTTGCAGGCGTTGGAGTGGAGAGAGTGTCTCGGGGTTGGAGGGAGCATTCCATGATTCTGGTATTTCAGGGAAAGCCCAGAACAATTGGGCAGGAGAAATCTTCTGCACAGGAGTCTTAGATACATAAGAGTAGAGGCAGAAGAGCGCATCTGCAGTTACAGCCAGAGTCTGGACCTGCTTGAACCGACCTGCAAAAGAAAAGGTGTACAGAGTCAAAAGAACAATATCAGTCCAAGACGACCCACCATCTTGATCCAAATGGGCTCATGATAGAGATAGAGATTTATGATAGAGATTGTGCATTCATTGTCCATCTAATCATTGTTGTTGTGAGTTCCCATACAAGACAAAAATGGAAACAAATAAATAAATAAATAAATGCCTTTTAATAGTCTAAAAGCTTTCATTGGCACTAGTGATGTCTGAAAACTGAGGCTGAAATGTAATGTATCTGTTTGCCTTAATGCATAAAAATTGAATCAGTCATTTTAAAGTCATTATTTAAAGCAACAAAGGATAGCACGATTAGCATTTCACATTCTTTTGATTCATGACTTTATAGAGCCTTGATATTTTAGCAATTTAGTAATTGTAATTGATTTGCTTTAAAAATTAAATACCCATATTTGTACTGGTGGATCAACTATGAATGTAGTGAATTAATTTGATGAGGTTCACTTAAATAATCAAGGTTAATGAATTGCTTGCAGCATTAATATTAACAGTAATAAATTAGCATTACACTAACATTTACAAACTCAGCCTGGAACATACAACAAACTGTAGCAGGAATTTTTAGCTTAATTGAAAGCCCCCATTTCCTCCCCACAACATCCACATTGGTCAGTTGAACAATCTAAAGATAGATAAGTCAATGATAAGTAAAACCGAGCCCTTGGGCTGCAGGTAGACCCTAAGGCTGGCTTTATGGCATTTGATTCTTCCATAATAATTAAACTGCCCTTTAACAGCATCCCACTCAAAACACGGATTTCATTTCTTGGAAGTTGGCCTATATTGTTTGAAAATCCCAAGCATCCTATGTTTCAAAATAATATGTTTCTTTCTGGACACATATACATTTGTTTGAGAACTTTGGTTGTGGACAGAAATTTGTTGAGATATATGGCAAAGAGTGCAGGCGAAACGTCAGGAGAAATGCTTCTAGAACATGGCCATATAGCCCGAAAAAACCCACAAGAACTGAGTGGATGCAATACTTTTTCAATGCAAGGCATGTGCTTTGCTACTTGACTGTGACTTCTCTCCTGTGTATGACTCCAGACTTCCCTTTGGGATCACAGCTCTGAAGAACTGCCTCTCTGTCACACTCACTTGCTAAGATCAGGCAAGGGTCTTCTGTCTCAATCCGTTGCACCTGGGCTCTCAGGAAAAGCTGGAAATCAATGCCCTTGGCCTGAGACGGAACAGAGAAGAACCGGGCTGGGATCCAAGATGTGGCCTGTGGCTCCTCTTGGATGAAGCCCAAGTTGCAGAGGATTGTCTCCACATCCACTTCACAAAGGTCCAACACCTCTGAGATACTACAAGGAGAAAGATGAATGGGGTGTACAAATATAAACAAGCCTCAACTTATTTTTGCATTTCTCAAACATACCGGCTATGCTCACTGGTTCGTACTCTTACTTAATTCCAGTATGAGACAATACCAGAAATACCATAGTGTCTATTGATTATGTGAACCTGAGTTTGGTGGTGTTGACTTCCAAGTAAGCGAGTGTAGCAGTACAGCCACAGATTTAATGTCTGCAGAAATTTGCCCATGATCCTGGTGTTTGCCCCCTTTATAGGAGCCCCCAGTGGCTCAATGGGTTAAACCATTGTGCTGGCAGGAATGAAGACCAAAAGATCAGAGGTCCGAATCCGGGGAGAGCGTGGTTGAGCTCCCTCTGTCAGCTCCAGCTCCCCATGTAGGGACATGAGAGAAGCCTCCCACAAGGATGATAAAACATGCCCTAGGCAATGTCTTTGCAGACAGTCAATTTTCTCACACCGGAAGCAACTTGCAGTTTCTCCTGTCGCCCCTGGCATGAAAAAAAAAACCCAACCCTTTATATTCCTCACTTATTCGTATATCTCAGTACAATTCTTATGTTATGGAATTGTACTAATAATTAGAAGAACACAAAAACTCAATTAATTATTATTTTCGTCATCTTCTTTCAAAGATCAACAACTATGGGATTCACCACTATCACTGATTTGTTCTCATAATAATTTTGTGTGGTTGGTTAAGCTAAAGTGAGGGCCACAGTGGTACGATGGGTTAAACCCTTGTGTTGCTGAAATGCTGATCTGAAGGTTGGCAGTTCGAATCTGCAAGACGGGGTGAGTTCCCGCTGTTAGCCCTTGCTCCTGCCAACTTAGCAGTTCAAAAACATGCAAATGTTAGTAGATCTATAGTTACTGCTTCGGTGGGAAAAGGCAAAAGTATGCTCCAAGCAGTCATGCCAACCATATGTCCAGGAGTTTCTACGGACTCAGGTTCCTCAGCTTGGAAATGGAGAAAGAGCACTACCTCCATAGCCAGAAATGAAAGGAGAAGCCTTTACCATTGTCTCTGTGTTTGTGTTCATTATATGCCATTGTAATAAGGCATTGAATATTTGCCTGTGTCTGCTTATATACTGTAGTCTACTCTGAGTCTCTTCAGGGAGAAGAGTGGAATATAAATAAATATATCTGGCCATCTGAAGTGATATACCCGGTATTCCTCTTCCTAGTGCAATACTCAAAACTGGAATATGGTGGTGCAGGCAGTAATGACTGGTACCTTCCATATCAGGAGTAAAGTGAACTGCTTGTAGGTTTTATTTCTAAATTTAAAGGAACTAGCCAATATGGCAAACTTTATTACCCACCCACCCCATAAATCGGTTCAACACCAGGCGTACCTCTCTTAAAGTTCAGATTAAAACCAGTAGTAAATTCACTATCTCAGGTTCAATCTATGCTGTTTTATATAGGTCTACACTAATATTGTTTCAAATTGCATTATATGGTGATGCAGATCCAGCCTCATTGAAATGGAGGTCAGCAGCAGCCAATGGACATAGGTAGACCAAGCCTTACCCAAATGTTCCTCATTTACCTGGAGGTAGTCTTGTTTGTACTGCCCGAGATGGCACTGGAAGCCATGCTATGATCCAGATTAATATGCTGAGAAGACCATCTGCTATCTTTTGGGAACCTGCAATGAAAGAGGAAAAAGTGATTTATCTGGCTTGACACATCTGGTCTAGAAGACGAAACCCACTAATGCAAGAGTGAGAAAATGCACAGTACTCCAGATTTTGTTCTACTGCTACTCTCAACAGACCCCCCAACAGCATAACTGAAGATGAGAAGTAGCAGAATGTCCTGTGGCATCTGCAGGGTGATATAGTCTCCATCTTTGGAGACAGGGTATATTTATGGCAACAACAATGGTCTAACAGGCATTCCTTCTCCACTTATTAACTTGGGAACTGCCATTTTCTGAGTGCTCTCAAACCAAGAAGGCTTAGCATCCTCCAACAGAGCTTAGAAAGGCAACCTTTTTGGAATACACTCGTAGAATCTTCCATCGTGCCTGGAGGAGTCCAAGAGCAGTCATTCAAAAAGCAGCTTTTCTGAGCTCTGCCCTCACCAGATTAAACTCCATAGGATTTTAAAGGGGATATTCAACAACTACAAAGATTAAAAAGTTAACAGGGGAACACTACACAATCACACACACAGAAGTACTTGGAGAGAGCTGGTCTTGTACTTTGCCTTCTCACCTCAGATGCCCAGATAAAGAAGAAAAATAAATATCTTTTGGTTGCTTTAATTTCAGAAATCTACCACTTAACAGGAAAGCTTAGAGAAGACAATGATGCTGAGGAAAATGGAAGAAAAAGGAAGAGGGGCCGACCAAGAGCAAGATGGATGGATGGTATCCTTGAAGGGACTGGCTTGACTCTAAAGAAGCTGGGGGAGGTGACGGCCGACAGGGAGCTCTGGCGTGGGCTAGTCCATGAGGTCATGAAGACTTGAAAGCGACTGAACGAATAAACAACAACAACACTTAAGTTACCTGAACCATAATTTTGTGTAATGAATTGGTAATGTATAATTGGTTATGCTATGAAAGCCTTTCACTATGGAGATGACCTGCCATATAACTCTCAGATTCTTCTGTGCCTAATTGCAAGATCTAGCATTTATGCAATTTCCGTTCTCCAGCAAATACCTACAGGTATCAGGGAAGAGGGGAATTATTGTATTGAGGCCTCAAATTGATTAAATATCAATACAAAGACCCTATGTTACATCATCCAAAAATTGAAAGGAAGACAGCAACATGGCAGTTGGTAGCCCCCAAAATGGGAGAGTGCTGAATGTGCCTGTGCTTTGGTCCAAACTTTAAAGAGGAGACACCTAGAAAAGTTCCTTTAAAGTTTGAAAAAAAAGTCCATGACACACCAAGAAGGTAGGCTTCAGATCTGACAGAATCTGAAGGAGGAACTATGCTTTCAGTCTTGAAATGAAGCTGGGAAGAATAGTTCAAATGTATCATTTCCTAGCTTTATTTTTAATTTTAATTTGAAATCTTGTTATCTAGATGTAAAAATCCAAATTAAATATTGACATCTTCAAGATGTACAAAACTTTTGCTCCAACGAAGTTAAGCTTCTTGGTTTGTGCCTCTTACCCAGACTCAGCTCTGCCTTTGTTGAGGAGAAACATTGCTAGAAAGAAGGGGAGAAAAAAGGCATTCAAGAAAATAGCTACACCAAATCCTTTCCAGGTTAGTTATCAGCCAATAAGCCTAAAATAAGCAAAATAACATATGTTTTGAATACTAGAACTTTGATCTTCTTCCTACCATCAGCCATTCTGAACCCTGACCTCTTGGTGTTGCCTACAGCACTCTCATTTTCACTTACTTATTGTTACGTATTTCCTACTGGAATTTAATGTAAACTGTCAACCTGTTGAGCATTCCAGAGTTCAATTTGCAAGAAAAATAATGATTCTATCTCCTCCTTAACTTGGGAAATTTGGTTTTCAGTCCCAGCACTGTCCCAGTCCCATCTGGTGAGGACATAAGAGAGGGACTTTTCTATGACTGCTCACTAGCATTGGAATTTTAGAATTCCCTTCTTTAGGCAGCTAAGATGGCTTTTTCTCTGCCGTGCTTCAGAACAAGCATTAGATTATTCATTGATTGATCACAATGTTTTTTTTATGTAGATATGCTGTATTTTTATATTTATTGTATTTTTAAAAAATGCTTGTATAATTTTTAAATCATGGGTCGCCAAACTAAGGCTTGTTAGATGCAGCCCTCCAAGGTCATTTACTGGACCCCTGCCCTCAACTTTAGATTAAGTCTGAAATGACTTGAAGGTACATGACAATAATGATCCTAATTAACTTGACTGTCTCATCAGCCAAAAGCAGGCCCACACTTTCCACTGAAATACTGGTAATTTTGTTTTGGTTAAAATTGTTCTTCATTTTAAATATTATATTGTCCAGTCATATTTTTTTGCCACTACAATTAAGATATGTACAGTATGCAAAAGAATTTGTGGGGTTTTTTTTCAAACTGTAATATGCCTCTCCAACAGTCTGGAGGACCATGAACCAGCCCTTGGCTTCAAAAGTTTGAGGATCCTTGTTTCAAATCAGTGCTGTTTTAACATGACTTCATGTCTAATTGCATTTGTACATGTTTAAAAAAACCCATCTTTCTTGGAGTAAAGGTGGGGCATTTAATTAATTATTTCATTAATTGCTTTGAAGACTTGACGAGTTAGATGAAAGCAATGTTTCTTATCTTAATTCACAGTGTTGTGAGATGCAAATTTAGATACCATTTGTGAAATCCGAGATGCTATGCTCTAAAGTTGAGCTCACATCTTTGAAAGTAGACCTCCCAAGGCCTTAGCTGCTTGACAAAGATAGACTTGATCATACATAAGTCCCGTCATGGTACATCAGATCTAACACTGTGCTGCCTGATTTTGTCTCAACTAATTTGATATGACAGCAAGCCAAGCAAAACAAAAAAAAATAACTTTAAAGATATGGCTAACATTTTGTACTGGAACTATTGATTCATATACAAATCTGTATCTGCCCCATTTTCAGTAAGTGTGTATTCACTAGTGTTATTCCTTTCTGTTTGCTAGTCATTTAGCTCAGTAATGCAGAAACTATTCTTTTTTGTTCATAAAATGTCTGCAGGTTCATCCAAAAATGTTAGCTCCTTTTTTGATATTGACCCAGTGCAGAAATATCTATCTATCTCACTCCTTACCTTCGGCTCCCAGGCTAAGATCATCTTCAAAGCTGGTTCTATTGCTGCAGGATCCTGTAATGAAATGCATAACAAAGCCACAATCATCCCAATGCTCTTGAGAAATGCTCTTGAGCATAGTCAAGAAGCCAGAGGCTGAACGATTTGACGAAGGTCAAAAAGCTATGCACTGTTTTTATGAAATATTATCAGGAATGCAGCATTATGAAGCCCTTTTTATATATATATAAATCCATGACAGCACAGACAAGTCAACACACATAGCACAGGTTGTATCCAGAGGCGGCCCTAGGTAATTTTCAACGGTAGGCAAACAGTATTTTGCCCCCCCCCCCACCCACAATTCCATCATTGGTGGAGTTCGGAATGCTCTTTGATTGTAGATGAACTATACATCCCAGTAACTACAACTCGCATATGTCAAGGTCTATTTTCCCCTTAGAGCGCCTCAAGAGTGCCACTGGGCAAAATCAACTATACTGCAAATGCTTACTTTGCGTAATGGGTTGAGCCGCCCCTGGTTGTATCATTCTTTGAGTGTGGAAAACAAACTCCTAAATGCCTTTAATTGTCCAACTAAGCTTGGACTTTTGCAACTAAGTCCAAGGTCCCACTGGTCAGCAGTTTGAAGCCATGGGTCAGGGTGAGCTCCTGAATGTCAGTCCTAGCTTCTGCCAACCCAGCAGTTCAAAAGCATGCTATGTACGTAGATCAATAGGTACCGCCTTGGTGGGAAGGTAAAAGGGTCTCCCATGCAAACATGCCGACAAAAAGATCGGAGATGTGTACAAACAGCAGTCTCCTTTGACATGGAAAATGGAACAAGAGTGCCTCCCCATGATCGGAGTTGAGCATTTCCTCCAGATGGCAGAAATGAAAAGGGGAAGGCCTTTACCTTATCTGTATATTGTATGTCCTTGTTTGTGTAAAAGGCATTGAATGTTTGCCTTATATGTGTAGTGTAATCTGCTCTGAGTCCCTCCGGGGAGATAAAGCAGAATTTAAATAGAGTGCATTATTGTTATGACCACCCTGTAATGTCAAAGCTCATCTTCTTTCACTCTCAAAGGATAGACACAGTAAAATCAGAGAGAACAACAGTATATAAGCCACATACAACATCCATTGTATACCCTGAAGGTGAGCTCTTAAAAAATGCCCAGAACATCTGAAATTTGGTTCAAAGCAAGGCACAGACTTCACTTGTGCTTTTATCATGAACATTTTTTGGTTTGACTGCCATCACACTGCTAAAATGTTGGAGGTGTGTACACTCACCTTTGCAGATTGGGGGCGGGGGGGGGGGGGGAAGCTACCAATACAGTTTCCTGATTCCTAGAAACTGTCCATTCCTGCAACAAATAAGATGGAAAACACTTACCACAGGCCAAAGGAGCAGAAATGCTCTCAGGGAAGGGATCAACTGAAGAGCTGAAAGCCAAAATGAAAAATTCAATTATTTTCATTATTTTATTTTATTTTATTTAGCTAAAAGCTGTTGTACATCCTCTGCCTCTGAATTACACATGTTGCTTTTAGGCAAGAAATTCTCAAAGGTGGTTTTTCTTGTTCCTTACTCTGAAAAGCACTTGGAATTTTTGGCAGTCTAACATCCAAGGCTGACCATGCTTAGCTTCCAACATCAGATAACATCTGTTGCCTCTATGGTATTTAGCCCATAACCCTTTAATTTCCAAATAGAGACCCCAAAGGCAAAACATAAAACAGAATAACATAAAAAATATCTAGGTTGCAGATTTTTTGGGATATATGGCCATGTTCTAGAAGCATTCTCTCCTGATGTTTTGCCTGCATCTATGGCAGGCATCCTCAGACCTCCCAACCTCTGAGGATGCTTGCCATAGATGCAGGCAAAACATCAGGAGAGAATGCTTCTAGAACATGGCCATACAGCCTGGAAAACCTACAACAACCCAGTGATTTCAGCCATGAAAGCCTTTGACAATACATAAAAATATCATTTGTTTCCCAATAAGATCTGTTTTTTTAAAAATCAATTCTTAAATTTCACACAGCACAGACCACATTTTTATTGCTAATAGAATGGCTCTTCCAGCTACTCTAAACACAATGAATTGCCTATGGTCTGACAGCAAGAACATCTCTTTATTCTCAGAGGAGCTTTTCCCATAGGCTTATCAGAAATATTCCTAATGTGTACATATTTCAAGCTCCATTTTACAATCAAATGCCAAGATCTTTCACTCTAGTCATACTGCTAAAACAGATTTTAACATTTCTTGAGGTATGTGCATATTGCCCACTAACAACTGGTAAAATGAGAGTATTTAGTACAGATGGTGAAAAGGATTCCTTATTTCAATTTGCACCAAATCCTCAAAACACAAAAATCCAAGCTGGCACTATCATTAAGCTACTCTGGTTTCTCCTCAGATCGTATAAATCTTTCGCCATTTATTAAGCTACTTCCATCATCTGGAGTGCTGATTTCAAATATTATCCCTATAATTCTGCATTCCTCTGCCAGCTGGAACATCAAAAGCAACAAGTCCCATCTGGCAAGAGCCCTGGCCTTGAAGGGGAGGCCGCAAAGGGTTGCCATTTGACCACAGAGGCACTCATTTCACTCTAATGATGTATGTTGCTAAAGCCAACCCTACCAAGCAGTTTGCTTTTTGCTTGTTGCAAACATGAAGTCTACAGCAAAGCTGCCATAAGATATTGCTGGGAATTCTGTGGTGTATTCACGATCACTGCCACTATCCAAGGTGCTGAACCCTAAACTCCAACCCTCCCTCCCCCCCAAAAAAATCAGCACCTTGGATAGCTTTTTTTGGCAGTTAGACTAAAATGTATCATGGACGGTTTTCTACTGACATTGTTCCCCCCAACCGTCAATTCTTAAAAAATTAACAACTGGAGTGGATATATGATACAATTGCTCCCTCTAGTGACATAGGTAGGAATATGTTGCATTCATGGAAACCAGCAGTTGAAAAGTCTTGGGAGGCTTAAAATTGGTCAGACAAACCAAGTCTATCTGATAGTGAAACCTTTACTATGGTAATCAAAAGGCACACAATGCATCACACTAACCTCTGAAAACTCAAAAACATATTTGGCAAAGATGGACTTTACAAATATGGGGTGCAGTGGCAGGATTAATATCAGTTTCAATATGTTGAAATTTCTGGAACTACATTTTCCCTCTATATTTATGGAGTCTGCATCCACAGGTTTAACCAACCGCAGCCCAAATATATTCAAAACAATTCCAAAAATGCAAACCTTCATGTTCCTGCATGCCAAGCATGACACTGATTTGTAGGCATATTCTGTTGTGCCTCCTGCCATTCTGAGTTTATTTCAGGCTCTCTCCAGCACCTGTTTGAGTTGTTTGCCATTCCATATAAGGGACAACATTTTGCTATTTGGTTGTCAGACACTGGGTGTCTGCACTCTACACCACTGGAGAAATTACACTGTTTAGCCAGTATTGCACCACCTGACATCTGCGGGGAAATAGCAGCTAATACTGAAAGGACCAAGGCAGTGACATCTACAGCTCATCCCTTGTTTGGGTATCAGCCAGCATGTCAATGACTTAAATCAAGAAATAGTTTTATAAGATCTACAGAGACGCTCTCTGGAACATCTCAGCAAGCGAGAGTCCAAAAGTGGCAGGCTCAAACCCAGAACCTCAACCAATGGTTGATACCAAATGAGAGACTCCCCCCTGGGCACACAGAAGACTAGGCGACTTGGAAGGCACTGAATAGACTGCACTCTGGCACCACGAGATGCAGAGCCAACCTTAAGAAATGGGCCTACAAAGTGGAATCCACGACATGCAAGTGTGGAGAAGAGCAAACTACAGATCACCTGCTGCAATGCAACCTGAGCCCTGCTACATGCACAATGGAGGACCTTCTTGCGGCAACACCAGAGGCACTCCAAGTGGCCAGATACTGGTCAAAGGACATTTAATCAACTACCAAGCTTGCAAACTTTGTGTTTTCTCTGTTTGTTTGTTTGTTTTGTTCTGTTAGAAATGTAATACAATTGTCTGGTTGCCCCTGAAACAATAAATAAATAAAAATAAATTTTGCTATGTCACTGTATATAATGGGACTTCAGTATCCATGGATTTTTATGTCCTCCAGGGGCCCAGGAACCAACACTTAGCAGATACTGAGGGACCAGTAATTCAGTTTCACAATGTCCTGTTCTAGACCACTTAGTAACCTTGAGTATTCCATTGTCACCCAACCTATTTGGCCTACCAATTGTCACACCTGAGGTACATGACATCTCATAGATAAACTCACCTGCATTCCTCCAGCCAGCTCTCAACATCATTAGATGAACTCCCTGTTTGAAAGATGAAAAAAATATGCACTTATTTGTATGCCATTTTGTACATTCCTTGGTGAAATTACTATATAGGAAAGGCCAATCAGTACAATCTCCTATGAGTGTATCCTCGAGATAATACTTAAGGGAATGGAACATAAGGAAGGGAATTTTTCTCCAACCTGTTGCTCTCCAAATCTTATACCTCTCTTAGTCCCCAGATAGCTTGGCCAATGATAAAAGATAGCGACCATTGTTGAGGATTGTAGTCTAGAGCACCGAAAGGGCACTCAAGCTAAGGAAGGCCAAGCTAGGTATCCCTTCCCTCCCTTTCATTCTGTCTGAAGTTCCAGGATCTCTTGCTAAATAAAGAGCAAGTCACCCAAGATGTTTAGTCCTGTCCAGTTGCCTTTTCTTTAACAAACAACTGCTAAAGGTAGAAGGAACCATTTGTGGACTATGGGGTTGAGGAAGAGGACCTTTAACCCACAGTCACCATTGTCCTCAACTTGTGCTTGTTATTTCAAGCAGGAGGAAGTACTCATAGTCTCCAAGGAGAGTTTGTGAATAAGAACTCCTGTCATCATTGATTTCAAGGGTGTTCTTTTAAAAAATGTATTGAGTTTTGAGTTCAGTAACCAAAAAAAAAAGAAAAAATAACTAAAATACAAAGTAAAAAGATATTTTGGACTTAGTACATACAGATAACCAGTACAAATATAACTAAAGAAAGAGAGAAATAATAGAAAAAAGGAAGAAGGAAAAATAAAAATATATAGAAAAAATAGTAAACAATTGTTATACGTAATTTGGCTTTCCATCTACTACTTGGCGGTGATTCCAAAGTATAAAATACTACATTATAACACTTGATCATTATATTCCAGCAACTTTGCCCTTCTTGAACATAGCATTCTTTCCTAAACAGCAAAATCCTTATCTACTGATCTTGATTGAGAAACATGCACCTTCCCTTGATTATATCAATATTCTCAATATTTCAATGGTGATCTTAGGCAAGGAATACTCAGAGGTGGTTTTTTAAGTTCCTTCCTCTAAAATATAGCACAGAGCCATATTTTCGCCAATCCATAATCTTAAGTACTAACTAGGACTGTTTGTTCTTAATTCCCAGGATCAGGGAAGGGTCTGGTGTTTTTAGACCCTATCTATGAATTGCTTACCAGGTCCAAGTCTTACAATGGCAAGTAGAGCATGGTCAAACTTGCTATGGAGACAGTATAGAATTCATTGTACAGCTCTATCTCATTGCAAACATGCTCTGTTGTGTCATATCACAACATTAATATTCACATTTGCTATTGATAGATGTTGGTGGACAGCAAAATAAATTTAAAGATAGGTTTAAAGCAAACTTTTTAAAATGTGGAATAAACACTCAGAATTGGGAAACCATGGCATTTGAGCTTTCTAACTGGAGGTCAGCTGTTATCAACAATGCTGTGGATTTTGAAGAGGTGTGAATAGAGGGTGAAAGGGGAAAAAATGTGTCAAGAGGAAGGTGCGTCAAGCAAACCGTTGTTAGGACTGCCTGCCATCTGGAAATTAATGTTTTCAATGAGAAAGATCATGTGGATCCAAAAAAAAGTCTCTACAGTCACTTACAGATCCACCATCGAGATTCTACCCTGAAAGGCAATCATACTCAGCCACGAGTGATAGTTTATGATGATGTGATGATGGATAGATGTGGAGGAGACTGGTGGAACCATTGTTTTAGGGCACTGAATCCACACTGGTGGTGATGTGTGTTTTCAAGTCACCTACTAATTAATAATAACCCTACAAATTCCATAGGGTTTTCTTAGGCAAGGGATCCTCAACTGTGACTCTTTGAAATTTTACTAAGTATTATACAGGATTGATCTTTGTTTAGCTTCTAAATGAAGGCCTCTCAGACTTCGGCTTTTGGATTATGTGATTTTAATCTTTTATATTAAGGACGCAGGTTTGAATCTGGGGAGAGTGCGGATGAGCTCCCTCTATCAGCTCCAGCTCCCCATGTGGGGACATGACAGAAACCTCCCACAAAGATAGTAAAAACATTTAAAAAACACCAGGGCATCCCCTGGGCAACGTCCTTGCAGATGGCCAATTCTTTCACACCAGAAGCGACTTGCAGTTTCTGAAGACACTCCTGACACGACAAAAAAAAATCCATGTTTAAATGTTTAGATGTTGTTGTTTCTCAATTTAATATATATTAATTTGGTTCATAGTTATATGTTACAGTTGTTTTTATACTAGGTTTTTATATGTTGTAAGGCATTGAATTGCTGTGATCTTGTTGGGCACCCCTTTGAGTCCCCCGGGGGATAAAAGCAGTATATAAATGGAATAAATAAATTAATAAATTCTAAGATCTCTCTTTTCCCCTTTGTCCCCAGTTTCCTTCCATTACTGCAAACCAAAATGGGGAGTGCTTTAATGGTGGGAGGGGAAATGGTTAAAGCTGTTTCACTCACATGCCATGGCTCCCCTGAACTTCTCTATACAGGCTATTTATGAAAATCCAGACCAAAACCTAGATCCAAACTATGTGACAGTCTGTCGCCTTTGGCCCTGAAACAGGAAGAGAAATTTCCCTCAAGACTGCAGGAAGTCTTTTATCTACCACAACTTCATGGCCTCTGTATATTGTTTAGAACAATGTCTCCTCCCAACCTCACTCAGAACCAAAGTGGGTAGTGAATGCCTCTTTTTAAACATTAGCCATTGTCTTAATCAAATTAAGAGTAGTGAAGAATGCTAGACTGAAGCACCTTGTATCTATAAGATATATAGATACAAGGAGGAAAACTGCACAGGAGCAGGAATTAGTGGAAGCCATAGTGTCATTACATCCAGACAGGGTAGGGCAGGTCCTAGGCTGCCCCATCACAAGACAAACAAGATGTTGATGGCAGGCATGTTTGATGAGAGAATTCATTATACCTTCCAACTATCCCAATTTGGCAGGAATATTCCTACTCCGTCCTCTATTGTTCCATCTTTTCAGCTTTTAAAAAACAGTTCTGGTTTTTATATATATATATATATATATATATATATATATATATATATATATATATATAATACTCTATTTCTGTTCTGATTGGCTGTGCCACCATCACACCATTTTAGATCACAAGATTCAGCGTGTATGCACACTGCATAACTATATACTTTGATACCACTGTTCAGGCTATGTAATGGAATCATAGGATTTGTAATTTGAGGGGGACTTTTGCCAGAAGGTGGGATTCCTATTGTTTGGAGGAGTACAGCAGAGAATTCTCAGTCTTTCACCAAACTACAAATCTCAGGATTCTATAGGTAGGAATCCAGACAATTAAAGTAGCATCAAACTACTATAGTTGTGCAGTTTGAAAACATCCTAAACAAAGGAAATGCCCATGTAAATTTTCCACGACTACACATAAGAATCTTGTTATGCTGCTAGCTTTAGTTACGTATTATGCTTTCATACACAGCAATATCTTCCTCCATTTCATTTTCCACAACTGTAGCAGAAAAAAGCAAAAGTGTGAGAGAAGGAAAGTATAAAAAAAGAATGCCACCTGGGTGATGGAAATAATAACATGACTCAAAAACAAAAGTTGCAGCTGACTGAATAGATGAGGCAGGCCCCTTGCTCAAGAGCAGGGCAGAACTTGGAAATATTACATTTTGGGGCTACAGTTGGCTATTAGTTTCTGGAAGTTGTAACCTATTAGATGCTGATGAAATGGAAATGTTGTCAACTCTAGCCAGCATACCCATACTGAGGAATGATTGGAGTTGGAGTCCAGCAACATGCCCCCACCCAGTCCTAGAAAAGGAATAAAAATGTAGTCCAGAACAGATTGTGCCAGAGTTGATGGGCCACTATGCATGGTCAGCTTCTGTAGAATTTTAGAAATGTTAGAAACTTCTCCTTCAGCTCTGTTGCACCTCTGGAGGTAAGAAGTGGTAAATGTTTTCCCCTGACATTAAGTCCAGTCATGTCTGACTCTGGGAGTTGGTTCTCATCTCCATTTCTAAGCTGAAGAGCCAGCGTTGTCAGTAGACACCTCCAAGGTCATGTGACCGGCATGACTGCATTGAGCGCCATTACTTTCCTGCCAGAGCAGTACCTATTGATCTACTCAGATTTACATGTTTTCGAACTGCTAGGCTGGCAGAAGCTGAGGCTAACAGCAGGAGCTCACCCTGCTCCCTGGATTTGAGCCGGCGACCTTTCGGTCAGCAAGTTCAGCAGCTCAGTGGTTAAACCCACTGCACTACCAGAACACTTGATCACAAAAACCTTAGTGTATGCAAGGTCAACGGCCCCACACCATGAAGATCTTGTACCCTTTCTTTCCAAAGTAGGTGAGGTGAGATAGGGAAACCTTGGAAGTCACTCACTACAAATAACAACTACTTTGTAATTCAGATTTTGTAGTAATGAAGGCACAACTAACATACATCACAACTGTAACATCAGAAAGAATAACCTCACTCTTTTTGCAGAGATTTTAGTTAGTTTTAAAGGAGTAGGATGCATAGTTTTCACTACTTGGCTATATTTTATACTACTGAAAAATAACTTTTAGCATTCTGTCGGTCATAAGTAAGAGTCAAGATAGATGGTAAGCTTAGCATTTGTTTGGAAAAGGTGCTTCCTCAAATGGGGAAAGACTTATGTTCATGGCAAGAGGTGATTTTCCCCAATGTTGTATTTCCAGTTCAGCATGCTCTATTTGGTGATTGGTTGACAGAAGACAAACAAAGATCTCATTTACATGTATCTTTGTAGAGTCATGCATCCCTGGGTGAGGTAAAGGACTTCTAATGCAAATTCTGCTTAACATCTAACTGGATCTCCCTTCCCCCTCCCCATAGCCACTTGAGAAGCTTTTTAATAGTGAGCAAGTAGAAAGGTATTTGGAAAAACTGCAGCTATAATTTAACTAATTATTTTGGAAGATCTTTTTACTGTAATGGTTTACTTTTGGAGTTCTAAGGGTGGAGATATTACTAATGACAGCAAGTAAGTATATATCATGTTAGCATGCCATTATCTCACCTTGGAGGAAACCATTCTCCAAACATGGGCTCTTCAGATCAAGTACATCCTCTGGAACATCAGATATCTCCTCTTTGACAGCTGGCCATTTGGAGTTATGCTTGGCCCATGCATTTCGCCTCTCCCAAGAAGATTGGCCAAGCCACGAGGTGACCTTGTCCATCTCTGTCGAAAACCTACAGAGAAACAAAAAAAAAACCCTAGGAAACTGAGTTCTTTTGGGATATTTCATTTGAAACTGAACACCTTCCTTCTTTTAGACAGGTTGCAGAACACCTTAACAGGCTTCCATTCACATCACCATGTTGCTGTTGGTTGTGTTGTTGGTATTACTGTAGTTAAAATTAGAGGCAGAATGTATTTGACATTCTGACCCAGCTGTGTCACAGCTAGCTGATAGCCAGCTTCATTGAATCACTACTGACCAAGAGAGTCATGAGTTCAAAGTCAGCCCGGGTCAGAGTGAGTTTCCAGCCATTAGTCTAGCTTGCTGTCAACCTCTGCAGCCAAAAAGACAGTTGCATCTGTCAAGTAGGAAATTTAGATACAGCTTTATGCAGGGAGGCTAATTTAACTAATTTATGATGTCATTAAAAAAAACTTCCTGCAGCGTGCAGAAGAATGAGGAAGTACTCCATCGAAAGGACTCGGTATGACAAATGGATGGTGAAGCAGCAGCTCCCCCTGTGGCCGGAATTGAGCCAGAATCAAGCATACCCTCATGAAGCCAGATAACTGAAATGTTAAACTGAAATGTTAAACTGAAATGTTAAATTGTGTCTGTCTATATATGTTGTATATCTCATTGGCATTGAATGTTTGCCATGTATATGTGCCTTGTAATCGCCCTGAATCCCTTGTGGGGTGAGAAGGGTGGAATATAAATACTGTTAGTTAATCAATTAATTAATTAATTAAAAAGAGCTATTGTCATGGTTGCTGGTCCCTTGTTATGGGGCCTGTTTGCTTATTGACAGTGAATGGGATAATACACAAGTCTGGAGATGGTTGAGGACCTCTGGGCTTTCTTTTAATGGAGTGTTTCTGAATGCTTTGTTGTTGCATGACTTCAACTTTCATTTATAGTGACATTTTCCTGGATTTTTCTTGGTATTTGTTCAGACGGGACATTTTTCTTGTTCCAAAGTGAAAATATTTCTTTTCTATGCCTGGGACATTAAGGCAATATTTTAAATTAAAAAACAGCCTCCAGTTTATTCTGCTATTTTTCAAGAGAATTTTTTAAATGTGGTTTGACTGAGTAGACCTGTATAAAATTGGGCCATATGCCACATTCGTGAGAATTACATTTTTAAAATGATGCAGCAATTTAAAAAGGATGGAGGCAACATATATGAGGGCTTAGGAAGTGCAGTTTTGAATAGCTATTTTTCAAGCTTGAGTTAAAAGGAAGGATGTGTTAAAAGTTTGAGTTAAAAGTTTGGAGCTCAGAAAACTATTTACTGAATATACTTTAAGAGCAGGGTAGAACATGGAGGTAGTGCCAGCAGGGTAGAACATGGAGGTAGGTGTCTTCATTGTCTTAAGGAGGTTGATGGAAATCTGTCCCCAAGTTCTACCCTGCTGGCACATCGGGGCTTGTTTACTATGTTTCAAAATGAAGTGATTCATATTGATGTCTAAGAAACAAACCTCTCACTGCAGTTCTGCTGCAGAGAGAGATCTATTGCCTCATAAGAGAGTCTGCTGTCTGCTTCCAGTTCTCTTCTGCTTTTGTGTTTGTAAACAAAGCAATTGTTATGAAATGTCAAAAGGAAGCTAAAATTTCTATTGCAAGTCAAGAAAGCACACAACACTACAGAGCCAGCCCTCCACATTTACAGATTTGACTTTTGCAGATTTCATTATTCACAAATTTAATGAAAATGTTCTTTCTGGGAATCTCCATATTCTCTGGTGTGACTCTGTGGTTAATTTCTTCTTCATGGGAGGACCTGTGGAAGCATCGTGTGATCCTTCCACTTCAATTGGAGGACAAATGAGTATGCTGCCCATCACCCAACATCATGGAACTTCCGGTGGAGGCCCCTCCTCCAATTGGAGTGGAAGCATTGTATGACGCTTCCCTCCCAACACGGAAGTCTTCCCGTGTTGTGCTGGCTCCATTGGAGTCAGCCCATTTTTGCACCACTTGGGTGACACTTCCTCCATGTGATTGGGAAGCGTCACCACAAGGGAGTGGTATACGAGATGATGGATTCACCCCACTTCTCCTCAATTCAGTGATGAATTCAGGTGAAATGGGTCACTTCACCAAGTAATGTGATAAGGTCCTTAGAGATTTCTAGAAAGGCAATTTTCATCAAATCCATGAATCATTAAATTTACCAAGCCTTCCCAGTTGAAATTGATCATAGAGTTGAGCTGAAGGACTTGGAGATTCCTAGAAAGGTGATGTCTC